AAACAATGCTGTGAACTTTTAATGATATGCTTACCCCGTGGTGGATGTCAACACCATGGAATAAACATTACAGTATATCTGAAAGCAGTGGCAATGGTGGCTTGTTTCTGGAGCTGTGGACTCACCAGGCTTCAGCCCCAGGTCCTATTTTCTGTGCTTGAACTCAGTTGTAGAACCCAGGAAGAAAAAATAATAAACATGGGGAAAGCCTCTGAGCATGTGCAGTGGACTTCTATTCTCTGTGGAGTAATCACAGAATGCCGCTCTTAATAGTTTTGGGGAGAAGCTTCATGGCAAAGCAGTATAGCTTCCATGCTGGCTTGAATGGCCTCTGCAACCATCCAGATCGGTTCTTCTGAATTAAGACAAAGGGGGACTTAGCCCCGGGGCCCTGCTCACACCCAGCTGGCTCTGCTCACTGTGGGTTGGTTTGCTCCAAGCAGATGAGGACAAAAGCACTGGGGAAACTAGGAGCAAATTGCCAAGGGAGGGTCTGGAAAGAACATTGATGTTGATTTCACGTCTAGACGAAATACCCAATGTTATTAGAGGGATAATTACATCCATCCCATCAGGCAAAGGGGATGGGGATTGGTAACTGGCTCCTTCACTCTTAAGTACTTCCTTTGGTTTATTATTTTATTCTCCACTGTTTGTTACGTCGTCTTTGAAGTTCAAAAACTATTCATGCTTTCTGGCCAGTTTTACCCTTTTCTCTTAAGCCAATATTGCCATTCTCTTCCTGGTATTTTGAGTGGAATTTAAACATGACTCTTAATATAAATGCTATTTGTGTCAGGCTAGTATAATGTAGGCTTAGTAATAAAGACTGACTACTTCTTACAGCCGCCAGAGGGAGAACAACACTTCGTAATGCAAACGGGAGAATTGTGCCAGGATGATAGTTGATAGCTGTTTCATTGATACAGCAAAGATAGCCTCATAGAGCTTCTGTCAATCACGGGTCCACACATTCATTCCTTCCAGTCTCTCTAGGCCCTCTAGGCATCCAGTCAACAGGTCTTCCCAGTGAACAGAGACATTTATCTGCAACAATCACCTGAAAAGGATTCTTCCCACAGAAATTGCTGTGGTCTTTTCCCCAACTTTGATTCACACCGACATGGCCTGGTAGGGGCATTTGCTGGCGTGGGGGTGGGTTGGCAGGTCTCTTCCACAACTGCTGGAGTGAGTGCAGCGAGGCATGCAGGGTTCATCCAGATTAGGTTTTTATAGTGCCATCGTCCCACCTCATTCATGGAGTTTAACAGGGAGGGGCAGATGCCTTCCACTTGTAACCCTCCCATGTTTTCCCACCTCTTTCCTAAAATGCAGAAAACTAGGGAGGAAAAGACAGGAAGACCACACGCTGCCTTCTAGTTGCTGGCACCAGGAGCCCTCCATCTGGAGGCTGTTGTAACCCGCGGTGTTACAGATGAGACCAGAGACCGGATGGTAAAATAAAGAGGAGTTTAATTACCTGCAGGATTTCCTGCAGGGGCCAACATTCATGGTTAGAATGCCGCCGCGAATGGAGTTGTGAATGGAGTTGGAATGAGGTTTTTATAGCTTCACAGTGAGTTTTCGGTAAATGGGAAACAATACAATCAGTTTTTGGCAGAAATCAGAACAATGGCGACAATGGGGAGTTACAGAATCACATAGCAGCAGTTAAGCAAGCGATATACAAAAGCAGATTTGGTTAGCAGTAAGTTTTATCTTTTAATTTACACCTTCTAAGCAATCTTTGTCCAATCTTTGTAGGTAAGCTCTTTCCACTTTCCGAGGGGAATTCTCTGAGGCAGTTACTAGACATTTGAATGGGCTAGAGCTTAGGAGAGCTAAGCCTATCATGCAAACCCTGAGACAGCTGATTATTCTAGTGTTTGACCGTGTCATGCCTAT